CGAATGTCTATAGTCCTAATGAGAAATACGTTGCTTTCTTTCAGACTGTGGGGAATGAACTTGCATCCTTTGCCTCTGGAATGTTGATCTTGGGCAGAGATTTGAAACTACCTCTAAACCCGTCACTGGATTCATCCAATGGAGCAATCTCCATCCCTTACAGAGCTCTTCAAGCTATAAAGCTGCAACTCTCCTCACTCCTTCTTCACAATACCTGTTGATTCCTACACCCAATAGATAAGGATTTCACTTACTTTTCCACATCCCATCAAAAATACTCCAGATTGGATTATTTCTTTATTACTCAAACAGATTTACCACGCCTTCAGATGGCCTCTAGTGAACCCATGACCCTCTCAGATCACAACCCTATCATGATGACCCTTTTGGACTAAAGACATACTCACAAAACCTGGAGGTTCAACCCTTCCCAGGTAATGATTTAAAGACCGATCTCTTCTACTCAATGTGGATTTCAAAGTGTACACCAAAATCTTAGCTGCTAGACTTCTCCCTTTACTGTCACACTAGGTATCCCTGGACCAAGTGGGCTTTACCCCGGGTAAAGAGGCTCGTGGTAATACCATAAAAGCCCTGAACTTTCACCACTGTCTCACCAGCAACTCCTGTCCTGGCTTTTTTCAGTCCATGGATGCTGAGAAGGAGTTCAACAGGGTAGCATAGGACTTCATGAAAGCAGTCCTCTGGCCTAGGTAATGGTATGCATTCCAGGATTTTTGCTCTTTACCCTATGCCACAAGCTAGAGTTACAGTAAATGGTTGAACGCCTTCCCCATCACCAATGGAACATGACAGGGTTGCTCCCTCTCCCCGATTCTTTTTATCCTTACACTTGAACCATACCTGCGATGTATCCGCTCCAATTTTGGTATCCAAGGAGGACGTATTGCAGGTCACGAATATGAAACGGCAGCATACGCCGATGATGTACTTCCGTTTCTCACGAACCACCAAACTGCGCTTCCGAACCTATTGCGTGATCTTAAGTTTTACAGGGAGATTTCCAACTTCAAGGTCAATCTGTCGAAATATTTTGCCCTTAATATCTCTTTACCCTCGGATCTGGTAACCAAATGTTAAGACAACTTTCCCTTTATCTGGCAAACCACCTTGATAAGATATTTAGGCATCCAGCTTCCCACTAATCTATCTGAACTTTATACTCAAAACTTTTTGCCACTCTTGTCATCCTTTCAGATAGATATTAAGACATGGGGTAGACCTTGTTTCTCGTGGTTTGGGAGGGCCGTTATTGTAAAGATAACAGTACTTCCCAGTACTTCTTGTATGTTATGCAAACGATTCCTATTTGGCTACCAAGCTAATTTTTCAAGAACCTACACAACCTAATAAAATCTTTTATATAGAGTAAAAGACCTCCACAAATTAGTTTGAGATGTCTCTCCTGCACAACGCTTAAGGACCGCTCTATAGCAGATATACTGCTACAGGGTGGCACCTGTGCACAGAATCGCGTGTATATATATGTAATTTTGCATTTCCGGGTAGGGGGCGTGCGCTGCCATTCGCAGCTGCGAATCTCAATCAGGTCCCGGTCAGTGATTACCGAGCATCTCCGACGGGGAGGAAGATTGTTCTGTTTACAAGCAATCTTCCTCCTTGTCAGCTCGAGCACACTGCTTGAGATGGCTGTGCACAGTTCATCCATCCTGATCAGTGTGAGTACAATGAAGAACACGCACCCTGCCCCCTAGTAAAACACTCCTAGCACATAGTTAACCCTTTGATCGCCCCACACATTAACCCCTTCCTGCCCAGTGCCATTAGTACAGTGTCAGTGCTGTTTTTTTTTAGCATTGATCACTGTATGGGTGCCACCGGGGTGTCAATGACACCAAGTTAGTTCCCTCCCAGTGTTAGCATGTCCGCCGCAGTCCCGCTAAAAGTCTCTGATCGCCGCCATTACTAGTAGAAAAAAAAATTCCATTATCTTTACCGCCATTTGTAAACGCTATAACTTTCACGTAAACCAATTAATTTACACGTATTGGGATTTTTTTTTTTTAGCGAAGACAGAATACATTTTGGTCTAAATATATGACTAAATTTAATTTTTTTTACTGGGTATGTTTAAAAGCAAAAAGTCCAAAATGTTGTGTTAATTCTCAAAATTGTCAGGTTTTTTTGCTTAAAGCGCAAAAAATACAAAACGCACAGGTGACCAAATACCACTGAAGTAAATTTCATTTGGTTGCAGCGTTGCATGAACGCACAATTGTCAGTTAAAGTAACGCAGCGCGTAATCCAAAAAATGGCCTAGTCATGAAGGGTGGTAAATTCTCAGGAGGGCAAGTGGTTAAAGGTGGTATTGGTCTCCCCAATTTTTAAACGCGATCACCAAGCATGTCACCTAGTTAGATTGGTGTGTTGGCATTTTCACAGACAGACTAAGGATTGGATTTCCCTGGAACAGGGATATTCTCTGTGTTCTCTGACTGTAGTCCCCGTGGAATACACTAGTATCAACCCCCTAAAAGGCCACCCGCTTATTGCAGCAACCTTATGCTGCTTTTGGGTGCTATGCAACACCTCTGTGCTGTCCTCTATTCCTGGGCCAATGACCTTGATGTTTCAGAACTCTGCATTCTCACTGGGCTTTTGTTAAATCTTCCAACAAACATGTGGATTTCAACAGAGTCCTAGGGCTGGTGACTTCTTTGCTGTGGGAAAGGTAATTTCTCAGCAGCTCCTCCCATCCTGGTCAGATAGGACAACTTTCCCGGTCTTGCCATACTTACAAATAAGCTCTTTTTTGACTCGTGCATCCAGACTGGAGGCGGTTCAATGACCTACTACCCCTTTCGAAGATCTCTGTTCGCTTCGTCCACCACAACAACACCTTTTCTTTTATTTACTCTTGACAGCACAGGACCACTCAAACCTAGATATAGCTATGAAAGCGTGGAACGATGAATTACCTCAGCCCCTCTCGGAGCATGAATGGGAAGCTGCAAGTTTTATGACCCATAAGGGCTCGCTCAGTGTGGCTGTACAGAAGCACTGCTACAAGGTGGGTTCCAGGTGGTATGGAGTGCCATTGCTGCTGCACAAAATATCACCCTCAGTGCCAGATAAATGCTGGAGATGTGAAGAGGAGGTGGGATCTTTTCTTCACATCTGGTGGAGTTGTCCTCGTATGCAAGCCTATTGGCGACAAGTTCATGACGTTGTCTCTAGAGTGACCTCATATCCCCTAGAATTCACACCAGCTCAGTTCTTGATGAACCACTTCTCTGTCATGCACAGATCATACAGAAAATCATTAGCCATGCACTTAATTCAGTGAGACAACGCATCCCTGTTTATTGGAGACAAACCACAATCCCTTCCATGAGAGAATGATTTCTAAGAGTGACTCAAGTAGCTGAAATGGAGGAACTAATGGCTACCTCCTAAAGAGCTTATGACAAAATACTATAAAACCTGGGCTTGTTGGATGGACTTTGTGACCACGGAGAAATACAAAATGTGCTGTCCTGTCAATGAAGGCTGACTACCCCTACTCTCTGAAGGACTACCATGGTGAGAGACACTTCAGTCAAACTGATTGATAGCAGGTGGAATGGAACCTATACCAGCTCTTAAGGAGGGGACTCCCCTTCTGCTTTGCCCTCTCTGAACACACCCCCTACCCCTCTCTTTACTCTTTCCCCTCTTAATCTCTCCACAAACCCCCCCCCCCCCCCCCCCAGTTTTCCTCCTCTTCTCCCCTCTCTTTCTCATTTCCTCCTTCTCTCTGAGCTACCTGACTGTTCAGTGGGAGCTTATAATTTTTACTCTTACACTATGGGTATTGGTATTTTTTAAGACAACTCTTGTTTGCTGGTATATGCCTTCCTGCTAGGCTTGAACAGTAAGCAAATTGTACTAATATCTGCCTTCTCTTTCTTCTTCTTTGTCTTGTAGTGAAAATTATACATGTCTCTTCATATATTCTCTTGGATGATGTTAATATCTGACAGCTTTGTGTGGGATATGTGGGAGAATGTGTATGTTTTTGGCATTCTTTTATATGGAAAACGATCAACCAGACATTCATTATGTGGCAATGTTTGTTCATGTTTACCACTGTTCTGTATCGAAGGAAGCTGACAGGTCCTCCATTGTTCATGTACTATGTTGATGATTCTATAATAAAAACCTATATGAAACTAAAAAGTCTCTCACATGTGGTATCGCCATACTTAGGAGAAGTAGCAGAATGTGTTTTGCGGTTTTACTCATATACACGTGGCATGTGTAAGCAATATATCACCCAAACCCAATATAAAACCCAGTGGTGATAAAATACCACCAAAAAAAAGCTTTATTTGTGTGACAAAACGACATACATTTTGTTTGGGTACAGCGTTGCATGACCACAGAATTAGCAGCAGAAATAGTGCAGTGCGGAATAGCAAAGAATGACCTGGTCAGGAAGGGGGAAAAACCGGCGCTAACATGGTTAAAAGCCACAGATGTGGGAAATTTAACCTTTAGTTGCCATTTTAAGCTGTGTGTGTCACCTTTGGTGTCTTTACAAAGGCCAAACATTCCAGGGTATGCAAACGTTTGATCAGCGCCATTTGGGTTATTTCTGTTATCATGATTTAAAAATGAGCTAAACTACCGTGTAATAATAAATAGCTACATATGATCACTAAGTTTCAATAAAAGACAGTTTTTTGGCATGATCAGTCATATTCAGTCATATTTTCAATATAAATGCCAAAATTTCACGATTTCTGCCAGGGTGTGCAAACTTTTGAAACAACTGTATTTGACTTGGATTGTGTTGATTTGTGCATTTCCGAAAATAGGTAGAAGCTGCACATGACTCTGGGTAATTTAAAGTTGCCTACATCTCTCAACCCTGATTTGTTCCTTAGGGACAACAGTATTTGTTCAAGATATAAATCAGTTTAATTCAGGATTATTTACCACTTTATATATTTAGGCATTATGATCTTAATTTGTAGTTTACAGGGGCTCCAAACCTCCCAACCTACACCTTGGATTGCAGCAATTCAGGAAGTGGTGTTTTGACTGGGCCTTCCATCAGAGTTCAAAACATAAAAAAGTTACAGTTACTGAAAGCCAAAATTGAAGTATCTGTAAGTACAGTCTGTTTTAAAATGAGTAATTAATTTACATGTAGATCGTATGCATTATTCTTATGCATTTATATTTATTTTCTGTTTATAGAATTGCAGAGACATAAAAACAGTGGAAAAAACTATTAAACTTCAGCCAAGTAGCACTATTACAAAACTTCATATTCTAAGTGTTGATGGTGAAAAAGCAATTCAAATTAAACACAAAGATGAGATAGAGTGGATTGCAGGTGATATCATGCAGAATCTTATTTTCCAAATGTACGATGAAGGAGATAGAGAAATTCTCATCACACCAACAATTGCTGAAAAAATAAAGGTATAACACTTTTATTTGTTTAATGTATTTCCATCAATATCAGCAGTGTTTTGTTTTTGTTTTAGTTTTTTTAATTATAATCTGTAAGTTATTTGTGTTTTCCAAACAGTGGTAATGCATGCAGTTTTATGGACTCACATGTTTTAAGTAAATGGCCGCTGACCCACGTGACTGAATATATCCTCTGTAGGAATTTACCAGTGAAAATAGATTTACCCCTCTCTCCCAATGGGAATGACAACCCATACAGATTATACCCCTAAAAGAAAGGGGGCAGCAGATAGTCCTTTGCACAGACTAGAGCAGAAACAATTACTCCAAATAATAGTAGTTCTCCAAGACTCCTTGTTTATTCCAATCCACCACATAGAGATATAGAAACTGGGAAGAAAAGAGAGAACACAGTGCCTCTAAGAGTATCTGCATCTTTGCATTAACCACTTGCTCACCGGGCACTTATACCCCCTTCCTGCCCAGGCCAATTTTCAGCTTTCAGCGCTGTCGCACTTTGAATGACAATTGCGCGGTCATGTGACGCTGTACCAATATGACATTTTTATAATTTTTTTCACACAAATAGAACTTTCTTTTGGTGGTATTTAATTGCCGCTGGGTATTTTATTTTTTGCGCTATAAACCAAAAAAGCTTAGGTCTCTTAGGGATAGTGTATGGTTCTCTGCAGAGAGATCATGCTGAGGGACTGAATCAGCAGGTGTGTCTGTCCCTGGAGAGCTGGCTGCCGATACTGCTGCTGAAGGGGGAGAGAGAGGGAGAGGGGGATGGCTGTGGGCCTCTCCGTCTGCTGGGAGCAGAACAGCTACTGTATATGGTGGGACTGCTATGTGTTAGAAGCCCGAGGGGAGCGGGACCAGGATCCCAGTGTACTCCGGTCCCCCTTCCCCATCTGTCACTGCCCTCTGCTCACCTGATCCTATATAATAACGGTACAGAATCTCCGGCTAGTGGGAACTCCAGGCTTAAACTGCCATGCTGGGACTCTGCAGACCACATCCCCCTGTGTTTTCCTTACAAGTTCAGTGTTTGGGCACCAGCATTTGATGTTTTATGGTTGGAATAAAGTGTTGGATTTTATCTTTCACTCCAAGAGTGATGATCATCCTTGACAAGCAGAGTTATTGTATAAATTAAATGAGCAAATGGGCCGTGAAGATTATTTTGGGGCTCTATGTTTAGTAATGCAAGTAAATGTTTCAAACTCTTTGGTTGCTACATTTTTCTTTAGTTGTACCTATTTACAGTATATGTATTACATGTATTTTCTTAAAGAATCTTTTTCTCCATGACAGGTGAACTGGACACCAAACGTTTCTAAGGAGAAATTAGTCAAAGGGCTTTTACCTGATGTAGAGGTGTCAAATTCAGTTAATGATGTTCGCTACTGCCAGGTCACCTATCATGATGATAATGTTTCATTGGAGAGTGCTTTCACACTCAAGTATGTATTGCAGTTTACAAAATATTGCAGCTTCTCATATACAAAATATGCAAAACTGCAAAATATGTTGTGTTTTTTTTAAGCCAAAATTTTATGTAATGCTAATAAATTCAGGGAAGATTTGCTTTGTTAAATTCAGGGAAGATTCAGCGAAGGGCACACAGCAGTGTCTGATTAGAGAAAGACATGTTCTTACAGCAGCTGTTGATTGAAAATAGTGTATTTTCTCCACCAGTCACTCAGAACTGCAAAATAATTTATAGAATAATATAAGCTTTTTAAATGATGAACATTTAGTGTTATAAATTCATGCAGTCACCATTGAACTGTTTGGTAAAATGATAAGGCTCTCTAAGCATGCTGATAGTAAGAGAGAGCACAGTGCTGGTATTCTTTATTGACCAATAAGCAGCCAGGGGAGGTGTTATGAAAAAGTTGTATCAATAATTGAGTTAAGTCATTACCGTTTGCTCCTGAAGATTCTAGGTATACAGGCAGGGCCTGTATATGGCATCCTGGTAAAGTAAAGCTATTCTTTTATTGTGGGAGGAAACCCTCCTCTCCAGCTTAACTACATACATTGCACCGAATTTTGCAAATGTTGTTTCAGACTTTCACCTTTACCTTTTTTTTTGTGGATACTGCCACACACGTTCCTCTATTCTGAGTTCTCTATAGGAGTGTCTGTCTGTTATAATCACACCATCAATCACAATGTTAACTCTAGGGATGAACTGAATACATTTTGCAATGTTTCAGGCCTCTCCCTGATGAACCAAAATATTTGAAATGCAAGTTAACTGGACCTAATGTTATCAAAATGGGAGAAGAGCTGAAGGGTGAAGTTGGTAAGTAATAATGGTCCATCAACTGGCATGAACCATTTACATGTCATTTTCTTATCACACTGGGTTATTTATAAATGGTCATCACTCATAAAGACACAGTATATGTGATTTATATAGCTAAACAAAACGTGCAGGCTATTACATTACATTATTCCACAGTTATTTTCTTCTTTTATGTATCATTCAAACTATGGCAATAACATTCCAGTCATCCCAGCCATCTACAAACTCTTCAGACGAAATGTGAAGAAGCTAGCTATTTAGAAAACTGATTTTGGATTTGACTTTCTCAGGCTCTAATTGGCAGATTGAGGCAGCATGCAGCAGTTAGTAGCTTACTTATTCATAAACAATACATGATTGCTTTGAGGCTCCATTTACACTCCAAAATTAGCACAATTTCAAGTAAGACTTTTGGAGTGCAACTTTGGGTGGGTGGTGGATGTGACTTTGGCTTTGACCAATGATAATGAAGAACTGTTGTACAACTGTATACCAATCATGTGCAACTTTTATGCAACTTTTGAGGTTTTACATTGCAGTTTATGGCACTCAAGTCACATGAATGTTGGACCAAATTAGTGCAGGTACCTTTTATAAATTCGCTGTATCTTTAAGTCGCACATATTTGAATGGTTGTCATTGAAAAACATGGGGTGCGACTTGTCATGCAACTTTAGTGACCAAAGTCACATGACAAGTCACACAAGGGTAGCTGGAGCCTAAACAGTGTGTCGAACTGTTGTATCTAATTGATGAGTTTCTGCCATTTGTTTATCTCTCTTGCAGAGTTGCAATTGACAGACCAGTTTGGTAATCAGATCCGTACATTATCACCCTCATACCTTGACTCCCTAGGTATTTCTGGAACTAGTCTTGACAAAAGTAATGTAAAAATGACTTTTCAGGTGCGTATTGTGCATATTTTACTGTGTTCACATTTTGTCAGGACACAGTGTACATGTAACATGTATTTATGTTTATATATAAAGGGAATGCTAACATATCTGTTATGTGCCTTCTTATGCTTAATCCAGGAAAATACACAATCTTTCATTGTCAAAGGAATACAATTTTTTAATGGTCCTCTAGAGGAAAAAGAACTTTGCTTCGCGTGGAGAAGTTTTTCAACATACTTAAGACTGAGCTTAGTTGCTGGGTCTCCGACTAAAATTGCCCTGGTAGACTGGCCAGAGGTAAAATATTTGAGGGTACAAAAGTATGCTGCTTTATTGTATTTGATGGTTGCTGACTTAACAATGTTTTATGAATTAGTCTGTTACAGTTGTCTGTGGTAAAAAGTTACAAAAGCCCCTGATTGTCCAGCTTTGCGATGAATGGGGAAACCAAGTTCTGGAGCCAAATGTTAAGGTCACTTTGGTGAAGGACAACCTTCTTAAGGTACACTTGAATAAGAAAGCCTGAAAAAAAATGTAAATATATTGTGTATTGTTTGCAGAAATAAGGGTGTCGACTATAACCTTCCAACATGGCTAGAAAATGGCATCTTACCACTTTGTACAGTCACACTATACACACTGTACAGCAGTCATGTAAAATTATTATTAACTAAATGTTTGTTCATGTCATGACAAGCAGTATTTGGATATTCCATATGTCTTGTAATGTACAAAATAAATACAAGGTATAAATATGTAATTATGTGTCAAATGAAAATGCAGATTTCTTACATGGAAAAGTAAGTAAAACCCCATGTTTGCTACTTCTAGAAAAATGCAAAAATAAAATGCAATATTTCAGATTAGGTGTCAATGATCTGAATCCGTATATATGAAATATGCAAGTGGAACCTGTCTTATTTAAATGTCATTAAACTCGTAAACAAAAATGTTATATATATTGCTTCTTACAAATTATTTAATGCAGTGGCTGCATTAGTTTTTTGTTTTTAGAGAGAGCTCTGCCAGAGTCTATGCAGAGCAAAACTGGAAGTTATTAGCAAACTACAAGTCCCGACAGCCTTAGCTGATGACGGCTTGTAGTTTGTAGTTCGCAATGAACTACAGGCTCCTGCAGCAAAAAATAATAAATGCTATTTTTTTTACTTACAAAATAATGTGCACTTATTTTTTGTCAAAAGTTGAACTTATCCTTTTCCAACACTTATCCTTATCCAACACTGAAAATGTTATATATTGCAGTATTGTGGATGTGATTGCAAATGTTATGGATTGGAGTTGCTTGCTGCTTCATGGCCTTTTCTGCTTGCAATCTTCGAGTCAAGTAAGAATTCTGCATTGTAGCAAAGTGTGCTTAATGAGACTATAGGGCCATCTGTCCAAAAAGTTGGAGTTGAAAGAAATCGATCTTTCAACACAATAATGATCTGAAGCACACTAGCAAATGAACCAAGCAATTGCTCAGACAGAAGAAATTGAGGATTATGGACTGCCTTAGTCAAAGCCTCAGTTTAAATCTCATTTAAAATGTTTAGAGATATATGAAATGGGCAGTTCATGCCAGCAAACATACAAACTTCCTGCAGCTGATGGAATCTTGAATGAAAAATGGGTTGAAAATCTCAGTCTGTGTCAGACTGGTGGGCAGATGTGTGAATTCTTACAAAGCTAAAGGAGGGCAAAAC